TATAGAATACTTGATTCACTGTTCTGATCATTGGTCTTCGTTCACATTTAGATGATTGGAGAGTTATTCCCCTGGGGTTTGGATTCCCCTGAACCCTTAGGAGTGAGTATTAACCTTGGACATAATGATTTTCGAAGCCAAACATCTCTGTTCTGTCCCTGCCATGCCACCTGGTGGTATAAAGTACAATGCTGTGCTGATATCTGAATATAAAGGAATGGATGTAATTTCTAAATGTACATTTTTGATGAAATTAAAATATGTATTTTGTGCATATATGCATGCATACCCACAATGCACACAAGAAGTCATGTTGTTAGTGTAAGTTTTGGCTTTAAAAAGTAATTAAAATATATCAAATGTACAGATAACCTAATTACAAAATAAAATATAATGAGAGAAGTTGAACCATGCAAATACTTAAAGTACATGATAAAGTAACACTAAATAAATTTCAGAATTATCAGGGATGACAGATAAGTGGAACAGAGGAGAATTTAGAAAGCAACTGAGATGGTGACAGTTTGAATCACTGAAGAGTTGGAGTACTCAATACATAGTACTGAGAAAGCTGACTCCTGAGATGATTAAAAATAATGGTGGGGACAAGCATTGTGGTGTACATGGAAAGGTAAGGGATGGTGATTGCTTAAGGATAGTCACGCTACATGGCTAATATCAGAGTATTAGGAACTACATAGTAAGATCCTCTCTCAGAACAAATGAATTGCTAGTGATAGGACTCCGCCTCATTATTCTAGATGCATAAAAATTAAATTCTGTTGCTAGATTCTAAATGCATGGAAAGGTGATACACTAATGAGCTCACACTGCTGAATTACTGAAAGGAAATATCACTTGAGTGATAATCTTACAATGGGAAAAGATTGCTGAATAACCCAGAGGCCACTTAAGTGATTGTATCCTTTCTGAAAAAAAGAAGTTGAAAGAAAATTGTAAAACTTTAATGCTTAGTAAGTGAACATTAAATAAGTCCTGTAAATGTTTAAAGTTAAATGGATTAAATTGTGGTATCATGTGTTTAATAGAGTGCTTGTAGATGATATGAAAACATTTTGCGTTTGAGGTCCTCTTAAGTAAGGTGAGGCGTTTTTCTGGAACGTTTGTGCAATTTAGCATTCTTTGGGGGCAGTTTTCTTAAGTCATTTATGGATATTTCTGTCTATTTGTTTTTTGTGTTAATCCTTTTTATATGTTGTAATTTCCTTCTAGTTTAATTATTGTTTTGTTGCTTCCATTCTCTGTAGTCTAGTCTGATCTTTAGTGAGCTGTGCCTGTTTCTTGTGTGACTTCTGGTGTCTCTGGCTCAGGAAGACCCTTCTGGAGTATGACAGAAGCATTCTTTTGTGTCTCCAGATCAACCACCTGTTTATTCAATTTAACATTTTTTATCCTTCTGTGATTCATGCTCTGTGGAAGTGTAGAGCCTCATATTTTCACTAGATCTATGCTTGTTTAACTCCTTTACTCTCTCATGAGAAGTCCCAGCTCACATCTGACAGTAGTCTGTCTCTATCAGCAGTCTTCATTGCTCTGTCATAATTGCTCTACACTCTGGGGACATATTACTACTTAGAAAAGTGAACTGCCTGTGCTTTTCCAAAGTTTCTTCATCATTTTATTCATTTTCATTTTTTATTTTTATTTTTTAGTTTTGAGACAGTGTTTCTCTGTGTACTTTTGGTGCCTGTCCTGGATCTCACTCTGTAGCCCAGGCTGGCCTCGAACCCATAGAGCTCCGCCTGGCTCTCCCTCCCGAATGCTGGCATTAAAGGCATGAGCCACTGCCACCTGGCACATTTTCATTTTTTAAATGATTGTTTGTGTGATGCATGTGTGTTTGTGTGTGTGTGTGTGTGTGTGTGTGTGTGTGTGTGTGTGTGTGTGTGTGTGTGCACATGTGGAGATCGGTGTCAGGCATCAGGTCTCTTCTTAAGTCATGCCTCACCTTGTTATTTGAAGCAGGGTCTCTTGTTGACTTGGTTAGAAAGGCAGCCAGCACATCCCCAGGGTCCTTCTATATATACTTTTCCACCACTGGTATTATAGGCATGCACTGCTATGCCCAGCAATGGATTTCAACATAGGTCTTTGTATTTGCACAGCAGGGAGTTTACCAGTTGGCATTTCTCCAGCCTCCTGTTTTGTTTTCTGAAGCTTTAACTTTCTTTTTATGTCTCATAAATTCCCTTGGAAAATGTACTGTTGATACAATATATTCATTTTTTTTATAAAAATTGGCATCATCCTAACAGTATTTGCAATTCAAGCATACTATTACTCTATCTTTATTCTTACCTTCCTTTTGTCCTTTATTAAAGTTTTCACATGTGTTTCTTAAGGTTTATGTTTATTAAAGTTTTCTTCAAGTGTGTTTTATATATTTCAGTTTAGTTTCTTCTTCTATATCTATGGATGCTGTTGGTGTTAAAAATAAATGAAGTTTTAGTCTTTTTTTTTAATTTAGTATTTTCTTTGCAGGAGTTAGGAAGTTTCTAAATACTTTTATGTTTTATAATACTAAGTTTCTGCACTAAGGGTTTTTAATATTACACATCTTTATCTTGAAATTAATTTTAGTAAAGAACTACAAAATGATTTGGACTATATCATTGATGAGTTCTTAAATTCTGGAAGGTACTTAGTATATATATATAAAAGAGATGACATCTAGGGCTTCCCAACTTATTGGAGATAGAGACATCATTTTCATGAATTTCTATTTTCAAAGTCTTTACTATGGACTTAGAAGCCTTAATATCACTATAACCTCTAGTTCACATGTGTTCATGTTTTCTGGGTGTATTTTTAGCCAAATCCAAAACTCAATCCTTTCAGTGTTCCCATTGTACATCTGTCAGTAAAATATTCTGTGCACTTGTGAAGATTAGAAACCCTATAGAGAAGGAAGATTTCATCAAGGAGAAGCCAGGTATTCACTCTCTCCCCATTTGTACTCTGGACATTCCCTCATCTATTTTACCTCCAACCCAGTTGAATGTCAGCTTGAAGCTACACTGCCCCTTTTAAGCCAAGCGAAGTGTTATCTACTGAAAATACTGACTACTTTTCCTGTAGGTAACCATGCTGATTACAACTTTTTCTACTTCCTTGCCTGTTAGTGAAAACTAAACAAATATATTCTTACCATGGTTAATACTTATGGTAGGAAAAGGGAGAAAAAATGTAGATGTGTGGGTTTCATTTTACATCATGTGGAATAAAATCTGGAGAAACTTTCATTGCATGGAGTTCACTAAAACTCTGTGACCTTTCAAGTCTATGTGAAAGAAGACTTAAATGATACCATTACTGTAAGGCCACCTACATCTGAGTAAACTTTTTGCTAATCACATTGATCCTAAAATTGAGTGGTAAGTGGTAAATTGCCTAAAGGCAAGACATAGGGAAAAGATGACACGTTTCATGCATTCTCCATGTAGCATTTTTAGCATTGTGTTAGGCATATCTGCCTTAGTGTTGTGTATAAAATTTAAATTGTGAATAGATTTTTTTTCTTCTTCTTACTTAGAATCAACAGATATCATGCTCATATTTTCAGCATGTGAAATAAGGCTTGGTAATATAGCAAAAGATAAATTAGTGGTTTTGATCCTAAGTTGAGACAGCCTCTGTTTCTTTTATATACTTATAATTCAATAGAAAATAATGTTTAAGATTTGTGTCTACCCAATCATCACAGTGTGTTTTCTTCACTGACTACAGGATCTACCATCTTACCGTTATCACTCTCTGTCTTGCAGTGTTTGGATTCTCTTAAGTCATTTGAGATATAAACTGTGGTCCTTCCCTTCTGTCTCTAGGAATGAAATGTCATAAAGCCTCTTTATACAAATATCATTAAATAAAGAAAAACCATGTAGGTCACATGTTCCCTTTATGAGCCATGGTATCAGCATGACATGATTCTTACCATGTAGTGCTCTTTGGCTGTGGTCAGTGTGTGCTCTAGAAAGTGGTATGAAACTGTAACCCACATTGACACAAGACAACAATCCACTGATACTGAACAGAAAGGCAGGAGCTGCTGTGCAGTGGCCTTGACAGCAGGCTCTGCACCACAACACTCCTACAAAACTAGGTCACACCCTTGTTTTTATGACTGCCTATGGCATACAGTCAGTAGACAGCAGGGTTGTCCTTAGGAGAGTCTTACATGCCCTCAAACGCACTGGACCTGTTAGTGTTCACACAGTGAACAGCTTCCATGTCTTTGAGAAAGATTCATTCACATGTATGACCCACCAGTAACATAAGACTTGTGCTTTTAGAGCCCAGCTGCTGGGAGTGGTACCTATGTACAGGACTGCTTTCATTTTTAGTACAAATCATCCATCCCAGCAAAAGTCTGAAAGGATTCATTGAGGAGTTTAGCTGTAGGGTTTGTCACATGGTCTGACTGAATCTTTTGCTCATATTCTTACATCTCTCTCTAACCATGGCTCAACTATTAGAATGTCTTGACTTTTGAGGTCTCATACTATTAGCTATTGGTTTATTTGGGTTGTTACTCACTAACCTTAAGGAAGACAAACAAACAATATATGCCATCCTAGTTCAATGAGCATTATCAGAAGTATTTTTTCATTTCATTTATTTTAGGTGTGTGAGTGTTATTCCTAAATGTGCATGCCTGTTAACGAGCAGAGGTCAGAAGTGAGTGCCATATCCCCAGAAAATATAGCTATGGACAGTTGTAACTTGTGTGTGGGTATTGGGAACTGAACCCAGGTTCTCTGCAAAAGGGGCAAGTGCTCTTAATCGCTAAACAATCTCTCTGCCCCCTGAAATAAATCTTTTAAAGTAGTTTGCTGTTTTTAGTGGAAAATGCCATATACTATCTTCTTTTGTTTTCTTGTTTAAGGAAATTATCTGAAGATTTTTCCAAAGCATATTTTGATGCTTCTGACTGAACTGTGTTGGTCTTCTTAAACTTGCCTTCCATGTTTCTATTCTAGGATCTGCAGAGTTGGGTAAATGGTGCTCAGGAACATGGCTTTGTCCTGGTGTCTTTTGGAGCTGGTGTGAAGTATCTGTCAGAAGACATTGCATACAAACTGGCTGGTGCTCTGGGGAGATTGCCTCAAAAAGTGATTTGGAGGTAAGATCGTGGTAATTTAGGTTGGTTTTTTGCTGTTGAGTCCGAGTTTCTTTTTATTCAGTCTTCACACCATGGAACACTGGAGCATGGAACATTGATTCACTGGCTAGATTAGATGATCTTGAGGTTTCATTTTGTTTCTAATGCATTGAAATCAATAATTAATTCATAAAGGTCTGTGATTGATAAAAATAACTACATAGAAAGAATATATGATGTGGAATGAGAGAGTCTATGTTGGATACAGTTTTATTTTTCCTTCAGATTAAGCCCTCATTTTTCTTATTTAAAAAATTTAGTTGTAATTTCATGCCTGACTCTATATTTCTTCAAATCAGTTTGGAATAAAGTAGATAATGATGAATGAGTGAATAATTTAAATACTTCATTAATTCAGGTACTTTGTACTCTCATTGTGTTCTCTCACCTTTATTGGTATTTCCAGACTTAATATGAGAGACTGAGCTTCTGAAACTCTCATTAAATTATCAGATAATTAATACTGGTTATAATAGACTCTAAGATACGTCTCAACTTCCTAAAGGCCCTGCAGTGGGTTGTCAGACCTGCATACTTTGTTGAGCAAGCATTTGTTGGCATTTACCACTATTTTGGAGGTCTGGGGATATCATAGTGGACACAACTCCGCAATAAGAAAAAAAGATCTCCCAAGCCATTATATATGCTCTGAATTGTCTAGGTTTTTATCTTCATAACATTGTGTGAGGCTAGCTAGGGAATGCTCACTAACTGTGTTCTGAGCAGATCTTTCCCCTTCTGACTGTAGTTCCATTGAGATTTCTCCATCAAGCTTTAACCCAGAGCTTCCCTATGCTTTATTGAGGGCAGTTCTGTTTGGTAACATCAGACTCTTGTCATCCTCTTAGCTCTGAGACATGTTTGAGGTTCACCACAGAGGAAACAGCTTAACTATGTGCTTTGCTCTGCCAATCTCTCTGGTGCCAATATATTGAAGCATACTTCCTGCTGTCTTTCAGTGTTGGCACTGGGTGGGAAGGATGGTGGCTAGTGACAGCCTGGTGGTGGTTGTTTCTCTTCTCCCTGGGTACTTGAATGGAATTAAATTCAGCAACCATTCATTTGGGTCCCCCCATCTCTTATGTATGTCTCTTAGAAGAGCAAATGGAAAATACACTATGAGAAAATTCTATCTTATCTGTCTATCTGTGGAATATTTTATTCTATTTGGAATATTGTAGAATATTTTATTATAAAGAAAGTGAAGCACATTTTTATTGATACTAAACCAAAATTTCAGTAATTTATCATGTAACATAACACTTGTAAGTCTACAAAATTAACCCGTGTCCTAAGTCTTCATTTTGGAAAGACCTATTGTCTGGTATTCATTTTAGGTTTTCTGGAACTAAACCAAAGAATCTAGGAAACAACACGAAGCTCATAGAATGGTTGCCGCAGAATGACCTGCTTGGTAAGTCAGTGGCTGCACTTAATTAACTGATGATATTCAGTAACCATGATGTTAAATGCTTGGGAAAATGTGTACATGGTTTCCGGTGGACTCATTCTTAATCTAGTCCTTCAATTCCTAAAATTCAGACCAGTGATTAAGAATTTTATTTGTTGGAAAATCATTGGTAAAATGTAACCACTGGAATCTATAATTTAAAAAATTTAAACAATCATCCAATTTTAATTTTCCATAAAATATACATTAAATTGTATAAATTATTAGTAGTAAATAATGCTATATTTGATTAGGTTAATTGGTAAAAGTAGTAAAATTTAAACATAAAAAACACACACTGATGTTATAGTCATTTACAGATTTATGTAAGCCCTAGATAATTGGGAGTTATTTGATTGTCTGAAACCAAAGAAAAGCCAAAACCAGGGAAATAATTGATTTAAGTTTAATTTGATCAATTGCTTTAATTCTTCCTAAATTACTAAGAGTTTTAATAAACATTTGCTTTAAATTTTTATTTGTTGTGATTTTTGGTCTTCAACACAAAATTAAAATAATATTGATCATGTGCTTATCTTTGAAGTATGCCTAAGTATAAAGTATTTTACTTTGTTTAATGAGTACAGACAGTAAAATGAACAATTTTATTCATTAAATTTCTGGAGATACCCAGTGTACTATCATTCCCTTAATGTATATTAAGGAAATAATAAGAAAGCTGTTGATCTCAGCAGTATTAGACACCATTTATATAATAATATGAATGCCAAATATAAAATAAAATGACATTTTAAAATTATTAATCTTAAAACACTAGTAACAATCTTTAAATGCTTTAAAATTAAAATTTAAGATTATACTTATTTTAAAATATGCTTCCTAGATGCTACAGTGGCCCTACAAGTCAGACATTTTATTTTATTTGCCATTCTTATTGTTGTTGTTTTTAAAGATAGTCTATCATGTAACCCAAATTTTTCTTGCACTCAACTGTGTAGCTTTGAAGTTTTGCTTCTACATCCTGAGTGCTGGAATTTTAGGAATAGTTAAATAATTGTGTGTGTATGTGTGTGTGTGTGTGTGTGTGTGTGTGTGTATTGAACCCAGGACCTCACACGTGATCAGCAAGCACTATTCACAGTGTCTGCATGCACCTTCGCACTATATCTTCAGGCCACAGAGCAAGCAATTTCAATTTTTCAATATAAAATGGTGAATAGCTTTTATATATGGGTCCTTTCTCCCTAGCTCATTCTAAATGTAGTAAATGAAACTGAGCAAAAATAAACACAAGAATTTTCTTTTCCCAAATTTTTTTCTTTATTTTTCTGGCTGTTACTGTGATCTCTGAATCCATACAAGGTAGGAAGGAAAAAAAAAAGAAGAATCCCATAGAAAAGTTGGCCATCAGCTAGCTCAGTACAACAATATGACGCTTTCACCTAGGAACATATGAGTTTTTAGTGGTCTGTGAGGAAGACCTCTTCAAGGCTTCAAGGTTCTTCTTGTCTCAGTATTCTGACTTTTCCAAGATTAGTGCTTTGCTATTACTCTAAGTATCACCTCTGCAGGGTTGTGATGACTTCCATAATCAAAGATTCATCCAGGACAAAAAGTAGGCAACAAATCACTGTCCTCTCCCTTCACCCCATAGAGTCACCCTTTTCTTCAGATGCCAGCTCTACTTGATTTTTCAATGCTGGACTTGGTAGTACAGGTTTTGTTAAACTAAGGAGTTCTGCTGCCAAGAAATACTTTTCAACCTGATCCTTTATTTAATCTGAGATCAGGAGTAGACACTATCTATACAACACAGATGTATTGAGAGCTCATTGATACTGCAGTTCGTACACAGTTCTGTACCTGGTGAGATTAGTATTTCTGCAACCAATAATTATTTATTGCCAAAAACACATTTCCTAAGCACACTGTTTATTTTTCTTGCACTTCTTATGCAAGTTTTTCATTCCTCTTATTAAATACAGGCCATTTACCTAGTGGGTGTACCTCATTAAAATTTTAACAAGCTAACCTTTCTACTCCCATGATAGCTAAATATTATATGATATGATATATAGCTCTTACAGTTGATGCCCTCATTGACTTTCTCCTTATTATCAGCAATTAGTGTGTGTTGCTAGTTATGTTTGAGAGAATTTTGTCATATATTTTATGATTAATGTTGTATGTTTAAATTACCTAAAAAGGATTTTCAGTTGACATATGTAACAAACATTTTAATTGATGTAAATAATGGATCAGTGGAATTACCACTTTAAAAATTCACTTTCTGGCCGGGCGGTGGTGGCGCACGCCTTTAATCCCAGCACTTGGGAGGCAGAGGCAGGCGGATCTCTGTCAGTTCAAGGCCAGCCTGGTCTACAGAGCGAGATCCACGAAAGGCGCAAAGCTACACAGAGAAACCCTGTCTCGAAAAACCAAAAAAAAAAAAAAAAAAAAAAAAATTCACTTTCTGAAATGCATGTTTACTATATAGTGTTAAGCTCTGGATAAATCTAGAGTAGTAACATAGTTGTTTCCTTTTTATCTTTTAGGTCATTCAAATATCAAAGCCTTCCTAAGCCATGGTGGTTTGAACAGCATTTTTGAAACTATGTATCATGGTGTCCCTGTAGTGGGAATTCCACTTTTTGGAGACCATTATGATACTATGACTCGAGTACAGGCAAAAGGCATGGGGATCTTGTTAGAATGGAAAACAGTTACTGAAGGAGAGTTGTATGATGCCCTGGTGAAGGTTATCAATAATCCAAGGTAAGGCTTCAGCTAATATAAGGCAGATAACATTATGTATATACACATTTATCACATATTTACATATATACACTTAGACACATATTTATTTACACAGTATATTGGCAGGAAGTTGTCTCTAAGTCCACCATGGAGATATCCCTTACGTTACTGTTATATGTGTTTTCTAAAATTTTGAAGTTAAATGTATCAGCCATTTAGTCATCCAAGTTGTAACCCTGAGGTTTTTGCCACCAAGATTTTTCAGAAAAACTAAGGGGGATCTGTTGTCAGATCTCTCCAGTGTGTCAGATTTGTATCTTTTATACTCATTTGTATCCTTGACACTCATTGCACTAGTTACATTTGCCATGGCTGTGACCAAATCCTTGAGAAGAGGTGACTTGGAGGAGGAAGAATTTATTTTGTCTGTGGTTGGAAGGTATATCGTGCTGACCCAGGGGAAGGCCTGATGGCAGGAGTAGCTCCCAGCTGTGGTCACATGGGCTGCCGCACGCCTTGGTAGGAAAGCCGAGAGTGGAGAATACTGACACCGTTCTGGCTTTCTTTTTCCTCATTCTGAGTCCCCAGCCATAGGACAATGCTATCATATTCCGATTTTCCCTCCTCAGTTCTCTCCTGGGACTGTTCTCACACATACTCAAAAATACGTTTCTCGGGGAATTCTAAACCCACTCAAGTTGACAGTGATCAACCATCTCCCTTGCTGCTACCTTGTATTAGAACTTTTGCTATTCTCACTGTAGAAATGAGGCACTTGAAGCTCCAAGAGCTTCAGTAATTTGCCTATGGTCGCATAGCTATTCAAATACAAACTGAAGACAGACTTAGCTGTCCTAAGCAGAGCTCTTCATCCTGCCTGGCAATCACGTGCTGCTGGCTTTCCCAGCACTAGCCATTACTGAGATGTGTTTGCTCATGTGAATGATGAATTAGAATCTTTATTTTGCCTTTTAAATTCTTGATGTGTCCTGAGTTAACCCACTTCACAAATAAGTCTCAGTGGGCAGCTGCCCTGGGTAGTTTTACACAAAGCAGCGATTTTCTTCATTTGAAGACATGATGTTTAGTTTATCGTGTGCTTCAGATGACATTAAGTAGCTGAGGAGAGTAATTTCAGTTTTTACCTGGGGGAGATGGCTAAACCCTGGGTTGAGAATTGTTGCTATATCCTAAGGAATGCCACGTAAGAAAATGTTTTCTTAAAAAAAAATTATTTGAAGCTTACTTAGAAAAATTTTTAAACATCCAAGGTTCATTATGCTACTTTTCGTAGGCACAGAGATGGCACTCATCTGTGGCCCCTTAAAATTACAAATGTCTCGGTCACAAATGTGGCACCTGGATCAGTATGCTCTGTGCCTCAGGCTCCTGCATACTACCCCTTCTATAATCTGTAGTTTTCCTTGTTAGACATCATGAATTTCAAGATACGCTGTTAGGAAAATATTTTTATATAGGCCTGCAAAATCTGAAGGAAGGATTTGGTGTAGGAAAGTTGGAGAGCTGCTAACATTGGGTCATTATATAGAAACATTTACAGAAAGTGGTTCGGCAAGGTGGTTTGTGTGTTTGTTTTGTGGCACTGAAGGTTGAACCGAGGGGCTCGCACATGCCGGGCAAGCACTCTTCCATGAGCTATATTCCCAGTTCAGCTTAACAGTGTTCTCTGAGGTGTGAGCCAGCATGAATTAGAAAAAGATCAGGCTGTACTCATTACATTGCAATGAAATCTTAACTGCAGAATCTTGAAGGATATAATAGGTAGAAAAATGCCTTGCATAATATAGAACTAGCAATGATATGTGCCATAAATATGCCATTCCCTAAAAGTCAGTATGCAAACTGGAGCAAATTACTTCAGATGTATGGCAGATGTTCCACATTTATGGGGAAATCATTATTTAAAAGGCTAATTATCCTCATTAACATTATATTTTCAAGATATTCTAGTTTAAGGCAAGTAACCACTCTTGCTAAAGAAAGTTTTGTTGTTTGGGGTTAATTTTTTTAAAACATAAACCCTACATGATACTATTACAATCCTACTTCCTTTACCTGGTCACTTGGTACCTAGTCCCTTGGTTTTGCTGAATGAAAACCCACTACTTTGTGTGGAAGTATCCTTCTAAGTCTGGAAACACTATCATTCTAGAGAAAGCAATAAACAAAGGTGAACTGATCTTTATAATTTCAATTATCTAATACAAAGTCAACTTTTACTATGAGATATTTTTTCATAAATTCATGAAATATAATGTGATTTCATTACTTTCAAGAAGGAGAAATATCTAGGATATTCTTCATTTTTCTATTTGAAGGATAATTGTTTACCCATATGCATATATGTATACACACACAACATATGTGTGTGTGTGTGTATGTGTGTGTGTGTGTGTATTTGTAAAATAGAGTAAGAGGAAATCCATTTTCTCTTGCCATCAGCTAGAAAGCATGATACAATGTAAAGCAAGATGTGGATGGGCTCTCAATATTTGGGTGAACACTTTAGATCATTTACATCTAGATTCATTATAGAAGAAATCCTGATGACAGAGTAAATGTACCTTTAAAAGCTACATCCTCCTGTCGCATTGATATGAAAAGGTCTACAAGTGATTGTCTTGGCTTGCTACCTACCCCAGTCCTAAATTCCTATTCATTTCCCTGATTTGTTGCCATGCCTATTATAAGCAAAATATGTAGGGCTACAGCTACATCACAAAAGGAACATCACATCAACTCATGCAGCACTGTAGCCTTTTAGTTAGGCAATAACGTCTTAGAGTTCCTCCCACTCTCTGGACCCTCCTTTCATCACATCCCATACTGGCCACACTATGGCTAGTGCTCTGCACCTTGGAGTGCTTACTGTTCATTGGATCTGCCATAGTCTGGCAGGTTGCAAGAATTACAGTTGTTCCTGACTTCTTTACTTACTTTCACAATGAATCCAGGATCTTGCCAACTCCTACCAACTCTTTCTCTCTACCATTTCCCCCCATCTGGTTGAGCCTACTCACCTTTTATTGCTCATGTGGTCTTTTTCATGTACCCCCTTACCATCACTATCTTCTTCTCTAGTATACTAGCCGTTTCTATGTCTAATGACTGTTTGGTTCTATGATTTAAGCTACAGAATTTATCATTCAGTACAGGCTTGAGAAATTTGACCAGATATCCCTTGTTTTGCATAATGCTTGTGAATGGATTTACCCTTGGAATGCACCTGCTCTCCTAGCTTTCTTATTCTTCACATTCCTCCTTTAGCATGCCAGGTCTTCACATATGCCTAAGATTTTGCTCCTTGGTAAGGCACCAAGAGCCATATCCGCTGTGATATTTTTATTTTCTTGAAGTAGAACTTATTTCTTTGGTCTAAGCAGTATAATCTTCTGTCAGGGCCCTGTACTCAAACAGACTGTCAGAGTGTCCCACAAATGTATAATTATGCAATTTAAATTAAAATAAAATGTTTACATTTTATCACGTTACCTGTTTTTTTAACTTACCACTTAAGAAAGGTTTTGTAGTCATGTACATGCTTGCTTACATTTGTGTTTATATTACATATAGTGTCATACATCATATCATAGTGCTCCTCAATCCCTTTTTCTTCTGTTTAAAATAACATTCTCACACCATCATTTATTTTGGCTTTAATGTGACTGAATGACACTACTTTTTTAAGAACTGGTATGAAAAACATCAGTGTTTTTCTCTGTCATTTTCATAGAACTTGAAAAATGTCTCTTTTTTGAAAAGATATGTTGGTTAACAGCATTTGGCAATTTCTGATGAGTGATGTGTGTGATGTAGTGTAGGAAAAGCTTGGGTCAGAAAATATACATCCATCTCCCATTATGGAATCTTTTCAAGATGCTGGGTCTCTGGGTTTGCTTTTCCTCACTAGCTTGAAACATACAGAGACATTATAAGTATTCAAAGCATTTAACCCAGTTCCTAGAGCACACTTAGGTACTTAAAGAAGAATATCAGGCATTTCACACATTTCTAAATTGAGATAACCATCAGTACAGAACTTGTGTGTACATGATTATATCATGTTTTTTCCCACTGCAGCTATCGGCAGAGGGCTCAGAAGTTATCAGAAATTCATAAAGATCAACCTGGCCACCCTGTCAATCGGACTACCTATTGGATAGACTACATTCTTCGCCATGATGGAGCCCATCACCTCCGTTCAGCTGTTCATCAGATTTCTTTCTGTCAGTATTTTCTACTGGATATTGCCTTTGTGCTTTTGCTTGGTGCTGCCTTGTTCTACTTCATTTTGTCCTGTGTGACAAAATTTATCTATAGAAAAATCAAAAGTCTGTGGTCTAGAAATAAGCATAGCACAGTCAATGGACATTACCAAAATGGAATCCCCAATGGCAAATACAAAGGAAATGGTCATATTAAACATGAAAAGAAGGTAAAATGAGCTAACAACCCAGGTTATGGGAACAAATCTGTTCGGTCATTGAGTTTGAATTGCTATACTTTAGTCTAACAGCTACTAAAACTAAATGTCAGCAAACAATTCTAATACTCCCTCATCAGACCTTACTAATGAAATGCCATGGATAAGATATCTGTAAAGAGCACAACCCTAAATGCATAAATGTATTTTATTCAAATACTGATGCAGAAAGTTGGCACTGAACCATTTAGAAGCCTTAATTATTTAAATCAATTAAGTGATTGTGTCAGACCTTAAATGTTACATGTCTATTATAGATGAAGAATGGTGTCTTTTTTCTTAGTAAGATATGTGTATGTGTGTTTCCTATTCCTATATCAGTGAGTTTTGGCTTGTATTTGTTGAAAGTACAACATATTCGGGAATGGAGTAGGAAGACAGGACCCAAATGTTTCTCTGCCAGTGTTTAACATATGTGAACTTTGAAGTCTACCTTCAACGACTGTTTCCCTCAAAATTCAAAGGGGGCAAGTGAAAAGATGGGTGGCACAATTTTTGTGTTTTTGTTTATTATAGATTTTTTATTTGTTTGTTTTGTATATGTCCTTCCTACTGACTATGGATTCTTGTGGAGGAAAACATGTAATGAAGTAAATGAATGAATTGTTTTTCACATTTTGCTTATATTTTTCTCCTACCATAATTTTTCTCTGGAAGAATTTTCTAATTTTCTTGTCTTGTTTTAGTAAGTAACATGTTAACATATAATTAAGACAAAGCAACAAAGCTTACTTTTGTTCAGAGTACTAAAGATTATTGCTCACATGGCACTTGGAAGCAGGGCCATTGTTTGAATGTTTATGTGACTATTGGATATTCCATAATTTAAGTTTTGAATATTCAGGTGTCACCATTCTAAAATTTTAACTTTAAAATACCACCTTTCATTCCTTATATTGTCTGGGTCACACAATCTAGTACATAGGTGCCAACATATGATTCTTTTAAGCAGAACATTTATGAATCTCCTGATTGGTACCTGCTTTGTCTGCAGGGGTTTGAAGTTTTGTCAGTAAATCAGACTCTACATGCTACACAGAAGTGACAGGAATTGTACCACCCATTTGTGCAAATGAATTCCATTCCCTCACTCCATCAGCCCAATTCAGCAGCCTTTGATGTCACTGTGTCTGACATGGGACAGTGACAGTATTCATTTGGAACAGGGAGATGAGTTACAACCTTCACAAAATCAGGACCTCCCTGTTGAGCCACTTACTAGATGACAACTGTAGGCCTATTCCATGTCACTCTGTTTACTGAGCATTTGCACTACACATGCAGAGTATGTGCTTTATTTATTTGTGGTTGGAAATCCCACATTTGACACTTGAGAGTAGAGAAATGAAATATTAACATCATTCACTAACATGGAAGAGTTGTGAAAAATCTAGAATGCTGTAAATCCTTGTCATACACTATGACATACAACTTTATGACACTCCCACCAGGAGCCACTCTCATATACTTAGAAGTAATATCATCAATAGTTTTCTAATGCACAATGCATAAAATGTACTGCTTTCTGAATACTTGAAGAAATGGTATATATACAAACCTGTTAGTTACACCTTTTCACAATCTTATCACAATGTTGCCATTAAGAGGAAAAAAGTCAGGCAGTGAATGGTGGGATGGTAGCAGGACATAGAGTGTATGAATGAGTTGATTCTACATTTTGGCATTTGATGAAGTTGACAATAGGCACTAACTGGATGATTAAGCATAAGTTAATTTCCACTGTGATTTAAAAAAAAAGACTTAAAACAATAAACAAAATTGAAAATAGAGAAATGTTGTTGGAATAAAATTTTTATTCAGATTTTTATTTCACAGTATTATATATAGGTATATTTAGATTATAAACATGTTTCTAAGACCTCCTTACTTTTGTATGTGTATATGAGTGTGAAAACAATGTATTAAATGCGATAATGTATTTAATAAAAATTAAATGCAGGGATTTATCTTTTCAAGTATATCAATATGGATCTTTAAACTCTATCCCAGAATATTAAGAACAATTTTTAATTATCATTGTTTCTTTTTTATTTTATCTTATTTTTTATTGTTGTTGTTCTTCTCTACCCAACCCCTACCCTAGACTCCCAGAAAGCCTATTAGCCAGTTTTAGTAAGCATGGTGATTTAACATTTTCTATACTTAGGCTAAATTCTCTAATAAAGTAAAATTTTCAAAAAGGCATTTATTCACTTACTTTTAAGAAAGAGTCTCTATAACAGAAAGTGCTTCCATAGCTCATTTTATCAAATTAAAATTGTCTTTTTCCCTTCTAAATCAGTAACTTTGTAATATCTTACCAATAGCAGAAGGCAAGAATTTTGATAACCCAACTTGGAAAGAGTTCATGTTTGAATTGGAAGCAGCACTGTTATTGAACTTGAAAGAAACTAGACACTTCCCTCAAATCTCAGCCCCTCACTAAATCCTAAATTACTACTAAAATTGAACGACTCCACTGCAATAAAAGGTTTAAGAATGGTAGACCCTTGAGGCTGGTATATTACTCATAATGAGGACTTGGGTTTGGTCTCCAGAAATTCTCATCCTACCCTATCTCCACAAAGAAGAAGAAAAGTATGTTGAAAAACAACCTTGAGTACTAATTTAGCAATTTATTTTGTTGGGAGTATAACATTCATTTTTTTCAATCTTTCTGCTGAAAACAATTCAACAAGTTTATAAATGTCACATTTGACAGTGTTTATCATTATGAATAATAATACAAAGGATAAAACTTCCAAATCTTGTCAGATGAGGTGGGTAATTACAGGAATTCTGTTCCTGAAACCTCCTCAAAATATGCCTTAGAGAATTTCTTACTCAGTGTTCAAGAAGACCACTATAGCAAGCTTTTAAAGAAGTGTGTTATGTGTGAATATGCTGTTGGTATTTTTGGTAGACTTAGATATATTTTCCCGACACATTTTAGGAAGAAATTATTGAATTTCACACAGTTAAACCCTCCACACCATTATTTAGCTGAAAATTCTCCAAACTTTTCTAGGTTTCCAGCCACTTGGGTGTTTGTGGAATGGATGTAGTGATGTTAGTAATAGGTGGTAGCACAGATGTAGGTAATTTTGTTTTTAAATTATGGAAACTAAAAGGCACATAATAGTTTTATCACACCGTTTCTTTGGGGTGATCAGATATGTTCTAAGAAAGAATTCATATTGTTGTCTGAAATTTTTCTGAAAATCTAAATAGTCTAATAAAACAAGAGTTCTTAATTAGAGTATAATCCCTGTTTGCAATGATGAAGTCACAACCACATGCAAAATCATGCTGTGATTTTAAATAAAAGTATGTTAATCAGTGTAAGTCTAATAACAACATTCATCCATTGAATTGAACACTTCTGATATTACAAAAGATTTTCATTTGTGAGCCAATACAGAATTTTCCACTGATTTGTAAAGAATTAGTATTATTATATTTCAACTTCTACAATTTTTTTTTACTTTTTCAGATCTTATTTTGTATAAGTGATAATTCTCCATTGCAATGAACAGAATTGACTTAGATTTTCACTGAATAAGTGTTAGTTACCCCATTTCAAATGATAGTTTCTGTTGAACCATGATTCCTTAGTCCCAATATTAGGATCAGATTTCTGTTTAAATAAAAATAAAATTTAAAAATTCCCACATCCTTCACACAAATAGAAGCCTTTCAGTTGGCAGGAGCTATTATAATGTTATGTAGCATAGAATGTAAGTGTGTGCAGTAGAGTCTCTAACCTATTGGAAACATGCATTCTATATTTTAATGAAAATTCTGTTTCAGTTTTTCTCAGTTTTGTCTAAAAGTACATGCAGTTCCTTGCTTTTACCCATAAATGGGACTTTTTGCACTTAAAGACATTGGTAAATTGCAAGTAACATTTAAGTCAGAAATGATTTATGCTGAGGTTCCTCTGATGGCAGTCACCAAGCTATGACATGTTAGAGACCCTCAGTTCTGCTTCCAGTCTTGATTCTGTCTTCTAGGTAAATCAAATGACCAAGCTTACAAATACCAGGGCAGTGAGAACAGTATGAACAATTAAAGAAAGTCTTATGAGACTCAGGATATAAACCAAATATGCAAGGCTCAGAAAGCTCCTGAAAGTTACAAGGTTCACAAGATGCCTCTGCAAGGTATATAAGCAACAACATTTGCTGGGGAGAAGAGATCCTTCCACCACGCTGTCTATAAGCTGTACAGGAAATGTAGGTTTGTGGGCTGCCAACCATGCTAGGGTGGGCTTTGGGTAATGACTTTGGGATACTGTAATTTTGTTAGTAACCCCAACAAACTCACTAACTGAACTAGACATCAGTGCCCTGTCTGATGATAGGTGAATGAACATTTGTTTTCACTTCTCCAGGAAAAGTTATATAGTATATATCCAAAAAAGTAAAATACTTATATAAATTTATTGTTGGTTGGCATTTAAATCCAATACTTTGTGAGATTTTCTGAAATCCAAACAATAAATGAAGTTTGCTTTTTCTTGAGTGACAAATCTGTCTCAACAGCTTCTTTTAAATTAAGAAAGGCAGAGAGGCTAGCAAATTTTGAAAACTTTTCAGAAGCTCTTTCTAGAATATTTTTTAACAAATTATTGAAGAATCAGAATTTTAGAGTCATAGAACTAATGCACTGCCTTAATTATGTTCTTCCATGTCATTCCATCTTCCTGGATATTCTAAAATAAAGACCTTATTTTAAATTAGATTTTAACCTACATGTGGATTTAGGTATAAATGACATTTTCTTAACTGTGACTTTAAGTGATAATGAGACCTAACCCCCCTGCTGTTTTACAGAAAATTAAGGGAAAGAAGTCATTTATTTCCACACCTCAGCAAATTTCACAAATCTAAGGGAATGAAAGTTACAGTTTCATTGGGGGAGTGTTCGGGCTCAGGTCCTGTACTGTTGATTGAACATGCCAATCTTACCAATTTGTTTGCTCCTATTTTTCTGCTTCTGTGAGTTCTGTTTTCTTTCTTAGCTCGTCTCTTGCACAAGTTAAGAATTTCATAAGTCACTGGCACTCCCAAGTATAGGGTTCACAGACTGTGTGTGTGTATCTAAAAATGATACTTTTAAGAGAATGTGGTAAGACAACTAGAAGTTAAAGCATTCAAAAATACAGACTGAATTGAGCAAGTGTCCATTTATTAAAAAAATGCCTGCTCCCCTATATGAACTTTACTCATGTTGTAAGTTCCCATGAATACAGGGAGGGAATGGTGCTCCAGTGAGCACCAGGAGGAGGGTAACCAGTGTGTGAACACTCCTTTCTTTCAGGACTCCATGGAACCCTTTGCAGCACTGTGCCAGTTCTTTGGGGGCAAAGCTCTATGATCTCTAAAAGGTCAAGCCAAATGCACAGCCCGTTTTTGCCTTCCACTTGATCAGTTAAGATTGTGGCATCACTAGCTTGTACAAGTCAAGACCTTTCTCCAATGAGGACATCTTTAAATGTTAATTGTGCTGTTATGAAGGAATCCTGTACTATTAACTGTTCAGCTCTGATTCTGTAACCCTCACTTAGCTTCACTCATATCTCCAATGTTAACAGAAGGTACTGGAAAGGCAGCCAGCTGTCGGGAGAGCCCCAGGTAACATAGATAAAAGGCAGGCATTCAAAATTTATCCAAACCTTGTATTTCATGAGAATGAACTTATATGTAAAGAGGAATGGAAAGGTATAGGTAGGAAAGGCAAGAGTCTGGGAGGGAAGCAGTGTAATGGGATTTCAGATCAACTCAGTATACCTCACATTTCTTTTTTGCAGTATAGTGAAGATGGGAAATGGGGCACATCAAGTTGACCTTTGAAGGTGAATATGGGATTCAGAAAGGCTACAGAGATTCCCAAACAAAGGCATCTATAGGTGTATGGACCCTGTTACATAATAGGTATTCTAGAGATGAAGTTCTTAGCATAAGTGGATGTGATGCCTGAGAAAGAAGTTAACATATTCCAACAGGGTCAGGTAGAGGCCACTCATGTTTGTGAATGCCATAATGGACTAAAGTATTCTTGCTGCCAGTGACTTAAGACTGAGGGAAACACCAATTTAGTAAATTTTAAAATAAGTACGTTAAGCATTTGGTTATATGAAAGTTTATTTTATGTTACGTGTATTCTATTACTCTGCCAGGTTTCAGATTCAAGCCTAGAATGTCTACCATTCTTCATGTTACTGGCATTAAATGATGTAGAGAACGGACAGGTGAGGGGGAAAGTTGAATTTCGAACAGCACTTTAAAAGCACTGTAAAATGTAATCCCACTTTTATTGCTTTATTCCTATAAAACAGATGCCCTTATACTTCACAGTTTCACTGTATTTAGTCATTCCCCAAATACTATAGGAAGTACAAAGGGAAACTAGGTAATATTAAAACAATTGAAAACTGGGTAGCTAGTTCTTTTTTTTCTTTTTTTTTTAATTAAGAGATTTTCTATTCATTTTACATACCAACAGATTTCCCTTGTCCTCCCTCCTCCTGCCCCCCCCCAGCCTTCCCCCAACCCACCTCCTATTCCTACCTCCTCCAAGAGTAGCTAGTTCTTGACTGATACTTGTTCTATGCTGCTATGACATATGATCATTACTTTTTCTTTTTTTAAAACATTATGTTTATTATTTTATGTATGTACATGCACTTCCACTCATGCACATCATGAGTGTTCCATAATGGGTATGTAGAAGTCAGAGAACATCTCACCAAAGTCAGTCTTTCCCTCTACCATATGGGTCCCAGGGATTGAACTCGGGTCACCAAGCTTGAGAACAAGCACCTTGACCCATTGAGCCATCCTGCTAACACCACCATTTGCATATTGAATTTTTATTCCTATCAGATCATTTCTTAACTTTCTTGAGATTATTATATAATTATAACATTTCACCCTCCTATATGTCCTACCTGTACTCCTTCAAA